TCTGTAGTATTATATGACATTTGATTATTTGTCATTTTCAAAATAGCTTAAGTCAACACTTTAAAATATATCAGACGTATTTGCATTATACTCATTTTGTTAAGTTACCTTTTATCTTCGCAATCAAATAGGTTTAATTCCTAATCACATAGTAACAAAATTTATTCAAAGTACTAATCTTTATATATATATATATAGTCTGTGGCCCAATTTATTTGATCTTTTTTTAAATTTGAAAATGTTTTAATTTTAATTTTAATTTTTAATTTTTTTTCTTAATGCTATTTGCAGATGACATTGTAGTGATCGACAAGACGCGAGGTGGTGTTAATGCGGGGTTAGAGGTTTGGAGGCACACCCTAGAGTCTAAGGGTTTCAAGTTGATCAGTTCAAGATAGAATACTTGGAGTACAAGTTCAGTGGTGCGACTCAGGAAGTGAATGGATACGTGAGGCTTGATTCACGAGTCATCCCTAGGAGAGATAGTTTCAAGTACTTTGGGTCAGTTATACAAGGGAATGAGGAGATGGATGAGGATGTCACATATTGTATTGGGGCGGAGTGGATGAAATGGAGGCTCACTTGGTGTTCTGTGTGATAAGAATATGCCACCAAAACTTAAAGGTAAGTTCATAGAGGGGTGGTCAAACCGACTATGTTATATGAGGCTGAGTATTGGCCAGTCAAGAACTCCCATATCCAGAAGGTGAAGATGGCAGAAATGAGGATGTTGAGATAGATATGTTGGCATACCAGGTTAGATAGGATTAGGAATGAAGCTATTCGGGACAAGGTGGGCGTGGCCTATGTGGAGGACAAGATGCGGGAAACGAAATTTAGATGGTTCGGGCATGTGAAGAGGAGAGGAACAAATGCTCCAGTGAGGAGATATGAGAGGTTGGGCTTGGAGGGCCTTAGGAGAGGTAGAGGTTGGCCGAAGAAGTATTGGGGAGAGGTGATTAAGCGAGATATGTCGATTCTCCAGTTCACCGAGGACATGACCTTGGATAGGAAGGTGTGAAGGTTGAAGATTAAAGTAGAGGGGTAGGTAGCTGAACGTTGTTCTAGCTCATGCCAGTGGTGTAGTGCATCACCTAGTGTTATTCTTGTAATTTCTTAATCTTAGATTTTTGTTATTACTTGTCGCCTCTTTCACTTTAATTTTCTGATTGCAGTACTTAATGTTAATCTTGTATGTTTGCTTTGATTTTCTGAGTGTTTGTGTAACAACCCGACCAGTCGTTTGAGAATTTTCACTTCACGTGGTAGTTTTCGGGCATGAGTAGCTCCGTATGATGTATTATGACTTATGTGAATCATCAGTTTTGGTTTTCAGGTTATTTGGAATTGATTTGGAAGAATGATTCTCAGGTTGAAGCTTTAAATTTAAAAAGTTTGACCAAGTTTTGACTTTTTAGAATTTGACCTTGGATTAAATTTCTGATGGTTCTGTTAGCTTTGTTAGGTGATTTTGGACTTAGGAGCGCGCCCGGATTTTGATTTGGAGGTCCGTAGTAGAATTTGGCTTGAAATGGCGAAAGTTAGAATTTTGGAAAGTTTGACGGGAGTGGACTTTTTGATATCGGGGTCGGATTCCGATTTCGGAAGTTGGAACAAGTCTGTAATGTCATATTTGACTTGTGTGCAAAATTTGAGGTCAATTGAACGTGATTTGATAAGTTTCGGCATCGGTTGTGGAAGTTAAAGTTTCAAAGTTCAATGATTTTGAATTGAGGTGTGATTCGTCGTTTCGATGTTGTTATGTGTGTTTTGAGGCCTCGAGTAGGTCTTTATTAAGTTATGGGACTTGTTGGTATATTTGGATGTGGTCCCGAGGGGCACCGGGGAGTTGCGGACGGGTTTCAGACTATTTTTCCTTCTTTATGCACTGCTGGTTCTGCAAAAACTGAGCATCTGGTTTCCTTAATCGCGATCGCGTAGAGTTATTATGAAGGCTGGAGAAATTGTTCATCGCGTTCGCGAGTCTTCAGACGCAATCGCGTAGGCGCTGCAATTTGAGCACCGCGTAAGCCTTCACGCGTTCGCGTAGAGTATTTGGCTGAGCTGGGCAGTGTTCACTTCTTCCTCGCGTTCGTAGTCCTTTGCACGCGATCGCATAGTGCATTTTCAGGGGCAATGCAATTCCTTCTCCGCGATCGCGAGGTTGCTTCCGCGATCGCAATTCATTGATTCGCATAGTGATTATAAAGTACTCTATTTCGAAGGTTTCGGCCATTTTTGCACTTTTGGAGCTATGGAGCTCAGATTGAGGCGGTTCTTGAAGCAATTTTAACCATATGAATTGGAGTGAGTATTCTCTACTCGGTTTGGGATATATTCCATGAATCTATCTTCGATTTTAGCTTTTGGTCGATGATTTTTAAAGAGGAAATTGAGGTTTTGGCCTAAAGTTTCATAATATGAACTTTTTTTAGTTTTGAACACCGATTTGGAGTCGGATTTGAGTGAAACTAGTATGGTTGTACTCGTAATTGAATGACTTGTCGGATTTTGTGAGTTTTTTCGGGTTTCGAGGTGCAGGCCTGGGTGTGATTTTTGGCCGGATTTGAGATTTGATGTAGAATTCGATCTTTATCATTTGTAATTGTTTCCTTGGGCTTTATCTGATGTATTTTGGTTGCTTTTGGCTAGTTTTGGGCCGTTCATAGGTCGCTACACGCGTGATGGCATTCTTGGAGCATCGTTTGGCTTGCTCGGTGTCGGAATTGGCTTATTTAAGATAAGTGACTCTTCTAAACTTAGTGCTGAGGGTATGATACCCGGAATTATATGTTGTGTGATTAGTGTTGAGGTGACGCACATGCTAGGTGACAGGCGTGTGGGTGTGCACCCTGTGAGTTGTGACTCTGTTGTTTCCAAGGCACTGTTTAGTGGCCCACTTTGTTGATAACTGTGTTTTTCACCATGTGATAAAGTAATTGAGTTGTACATCATGTTAGATATCATGTTTAGGCTTTATGCTGATATTGTTGGGACCCCTAGCGGCTGTCATCTCATTGATTTCATTAATATTTCATACTCAGTCACATTCATGCATTCATATCATATCTGAGTCTCAGTTGTTACTTATTGATACATCATATCATTATTCTGGGTCAGTTTTCATGACATTGTGAGCCCGTGCGTGAGACTGGAGAGTGATGACTGAGTGAGGCCGAGAGCCTGATTATGAGTGACAGTTATGGGATCGGGATGCATGCCGCAGCAAGTTATATTGATTTATGCCATGATTGGCTTGTTATAGCGCTTGGGTCGTAGGAGCCCCTCCGGAGTCTGCACACCCACAGCAGGCGCGGTTGATTATATTCAAGGATGGATCTTCCCTTGGTATGGAGATGGATCTTCTCCAAGAGGCTGGATTGGCCTGTTGTCCTCGATACTGGAGACTGATGATCAGTGATGTATATATTCCGGGATGTATCTTCCCTAGGCCGTATGAGCCATACACAGTACCGAGTGGTTGAGAATTTATATATATACCTGGAGATGGATCTTCTCCATGGAGCTGGAATGGCCTTTCCTTGGTACTGCGTGACTTATAGTCAGTGTTGTATATGTTCCGGGATGGATTTCCCTGGGCCGTATGGGCCATATACAGTACCGAGTGGTTGAGTATGATGGGTGGAAAGTGTGAGACAGTGAGATTGAGTACTCTGGGAGTGTGAGTACATGATTCATCTCTAAGATACATCGCATTGGCATGCACACATGACATATAGGCATGGAGATCCATTTTTCCTCATGTTGTATGGTATCACGTCATTCATGACTTTTACACACATTGTTATGTGGCATAGAGAGATATATCACACTTGTTATCTGGAAAGAAAATGAAATATCTTATTTATTGTGAAAAGGATTTTTTGAAGAATTACAGTTTTCAAACTATCTCATATTTTACGACGATTTCGCTAAAGGATTTGAGTTTCAGTGATATTCTTGAAAAGCGAAACTATTTTCGGAAAAATTGTGCAAAATCTGAACATGTGTATCTCTGAGATAATTTCCTTGGTTATATGCCTTACGTTGTATGAACTGCTGTTGGTTATTTGTGTTGGACTCAACCTATGTTCCAGCTCGTCACTACTTTCAACCTGATGTTAGGTTTGTTACTTTTTGAGTACTTGGGTCGGTTGTACTCGTACTGCACTTCCTGCACATTGCGTGCAGATCCCGGATGTCGATGTTGCTGCGTTTGATGGTTGCTGGATTTGAAGGCGTACATGCGTTCCTGCTGTAGCTGCCTCTTGTTCACAGTAGCCTTAGAGTACAAAATTGTGTTTATGTATTTTTCAAACAAAAGATGTATTTTCTTCATATTAGCTTTGTAAACTCTATTCTTAGAAGCTCATGATTTGTACTACCAGTCCTTGGGAAATGTAATAGATCTAGATAATTTATTTTGTTCAATTGCCATATTAAATATTATGGGAATTGGATAGTATAGTTGGCTTACCTAGCGGGTTGGGTTAGGTGCCATCACGACTAGTGGATTTTGGGTCGTGACAGGTTGGCTAGTTGTTGCTCCTTCCTTTTATCTTTCTGAGCGGAAGGTCTTCCAGAATCTCTGCCTTATTAAAGGTAGGGGTAAGGTCTGCGTACACACTACCTTCTCTAGACTCCACTTGTAGGATTATACTGGGTCTATTATTGTAATTTTTTTTATTGATTTTATTGGTAACAACACAAACACATTTAAGATACACGTTCAGAAAAAAGAATTTCTTTACTAAGCTATTATTGAGATGGATAGAATTATCTTGTACTCTCTCCGTTCACTTTTATTTGTCTATTATATTAAATATATATTTTCATTTTCACCTTTTTATTATACTAAATCAAGAGAAAGACAATCTTCTTTTATTTATATATATATATATATATATATATATATATATATATATATTAATTTTGAGAACGGATATACACTTTTATTTTAAAAGAAATGTTAGGGTAAAATTCCTATAGGAACGTGGGCCAAAAGCCACTTTCTCTCTCTGATTATTCTTAGAAGACTCTTGCACTTCGGGAAACAAACAACACATGAAAGACAGCTCCATTTTATTTTTCTTTTTTACACTATTTTCCACTTCCATATTTTCAGATCAGACTTTGAATACATTAAATTAACTTACGCTCCTTAATCTTTCACGATCCTTAGATCATACAACAACAAGACAAAATTTTTATTAAAAAGATTCAGAAACAAACAATTAAAAAAAAAACACAAAACCTTTGACTTTTCACCCAAAATCATGAAATTGAGATCAAAACAGCAAACCCCATTTGAATTCTTGAGTGTATGATGGAGAAAAAAGCAATCTTGGTTCTTTTGGTGCTGACACTGAGCCTAATCAGTGGCCAAGAACCAAAAAAGATTGAAACTTTAAAGGCACCATATAGGATCCACACTTTATTTTCTGTAGAATGTCAAAATTACTTTGATTGGCAAACTGTAGGACTTATGCACAGTTATAGAAAGGCTCAGCAGCCTGGACCAATTACAAGATTATTGAGTTGTACTGATGAAGAGAGGAAGAATTATAGAGGAATGGAGTTGGCTCCCACTTTTGAGGTTCCTTCTATGAGCAGACATCCCAAAACTGGTGATTGGTAAAGCTCCCAACTTTTAATTTTGTGTGTGGTTTTTTCAGTTTTTGTGGATGCATATGGTGTTTGGTGATCAAATGCTGAATTGGGGTTCTTGATTCTTGTGAATTTGATTTCTTTGAACCGTTAAGAAGATGAAAAGATGCTATTTTTCTGATTTTCTAACGAGGGCAAGCTTTGTCTAGTGTTGTATGATTGCCACGTAATTTGGTTTATGCCTTCATTTTTTTTGTGGTCTTTTCTGTTTTTGTGGATGCATATGTTGTTTGTGATAAAAATGCCGAATTGGGTTTTTTGATTCTTGTGAATTTGATGGCTTTGAACAGTTAGGAAGATGAAAAATGATATCTTGCTGTTTTTCTAATGAGGGTCAGCTTTGTGTTGTTTCGTGTGATTGCCACCTTTATTCGGTTTTTGCCTTCAATTTATGGATTCAATGCTGAATTGGGTTTCTGATTCTTGTTGATGCATGTGTTGTTGATGATTAAATGCTGAATTGGGTTTTTGATTCTTGTAAATTTTTTGGCGTTGAACAGTTAATAGTATGAAGAGATGAAATTATGTTCTTTTCCCCATGAAGGTATTGTGTGACTACTGATTACCGCCTTTATTAGGTATTTGCCTTTGATTGTATGTGTTGATTCAATGCTGAACTGGGTTCTTGGTTCTTGTGACTTTGATAGCTTTAAGCAATAGAATATGAAGAAATACAAACATGTTTTTGTGGATGCATGTGTTGTTGGTGATTAAATGCTGAATTGGGCTCTTGTTCTTGCGACTTTGATGGCTTTGAATAATTGAGAAGGTGAAAAGACGATATTTTGTAACAAGGGTCAACTTTGTCTAATGTTGTGTGATTGCCACCTTTTGCCTTCAATTTTATATATGGATTCAATGGTGAATCAGATTTCTGATTCTTGTGGATATCGTGGCTATGAATAATTTGGAATGGGAGCAGATCAATTTATGTTGCTTTTCCACTGAGGGATCAGCTTTGTCTAGTGTTGTGTGATTACCACTTCTTTTGGTTTTTGCTTTTGATTTTCTATGTTGGCTTCAATGCTAAATTGGATTTTTAATTCTTGTGGCCTTAATTCAAAGAAATGAACTTATGTTGTTTTTCCCAACAAAGTTATCAGCTTGGTCTATGTTTAATGTGAAGAGATAAAAATATGTTATTCTTGACAAAGGTGTCAGCTTTGTAAAATGGGAGTATTTGATTGATCTTTCTTTATTTTCCTTCTACTTTTGGATATTCATTTGTGTATAGAAGTTAGTGTTGATTGTTGTTACTGGTGGTTTTGAGATATCAAGAATTTAACAGATATAAAAAGTTCAAAGGTGATTGAGATATCTCTGATAATAGAAAGATTAGATTCCCTTCCGGTTCTTTGTCAGTTACTTTTTGTTTCTTTTTATTTATGTCGTAATCTTTCTGATCTGATTTGGAGGTACTTCTGTTGGTTAAAGGCAACATTAGAAGCATGAAATACAGTTTAGAGAAGATCATCCTGTTCTGTTTGTTTCGGCAGGTATCCAGCAATAAACAAACCAGCTGGAGTTGTTCACTGGCTTAAATACAGCAAAGAGGCACAAAATGTTGATTGGGTTGTCATACTGGACGCAGACATGATTATTCGAGGTCCAATTGTACCATGGGAGATTGGGGCAGAGAAAGGGAGGCCTGTTTCGGCGTATTATGGGTAAACTCAACTTTCCATTTTGTCTCATTTTTAGTTTCAGTATTTTAGTAAGATCTTGATATGGAAACAAAAGAATTTCTTGATGGAAACAAAATAATTAGCAATCTTGTTCCTATTTACATATGTTACTTAATGTTTACGTGAACATATATGTCCAGTAAGCTTCTTAGGCTTGTCGGCGTCCACTGTAAAGATCTACATAACCAAAACGATGTAGAAAGGGATTAAGAAAATGAATAATCCCTTGCATTTCCTTTATAGTTTAATATTAGCGCATCAACTTTTATTGCACTTCGCATGTGGAAAGCAGATTCCCGATTCAAGAAAAGCCATAAATATCGATGAATTAAAAGCCCACGTTTGCTTGAGGACCATTTTGGTGTTTCCTTGACACCAAAATGTTTATTTTAACATAGTTTAATATTAGCTCGATTGTTGAGAGGTTGTTGATTCAGAAGAGTTTATTTCTAATTAGGTATTTAATTGGATGCGATAATGTTCTTGCGAAGCTGCATACAAAGCATCCCGAACTTTGTGACAAGGTTGGTGGGCTATTAGCTATGCATATAGATGATCTTCGAGCTTTGGCACCACTATGGCTTTCGAAGACTGAAGAAGTACGAGAGGACAGAGCTCATTGGGCAACTAATTATACTGGTGATATCTATGGAACAGGGTGGATCAGTGAGATGTATGGATATTCATTTGGTGCTGCGGAGGCAAGTTGTTTCAATTGTTTACGTATCTTTTATTTTACAGATATCTGTTGCTGCTTTTCTAAGCTTTTATTAAGATGATAATATATATCCTTGATGTTTGATTTGTCAGGTAGGACTCCGGCATAAGATTAATGATAACCTGATGATATATCCTGGATATATTCCACGAGAGGGTGTTGAACCTATTCTTATGCACTATGGCTTGCCTTTTAATGTCGGAAACTGGTCATTCAGTAAACTAGAACATCACGATGATGACATTGTCTATAATTGCAGTCGGCTCTTCCCTGAACCTCCTTATCCCCGAGAGGTAAAATTTAGTCTGCGCCACTAAAGTAGATCATATCAGTCTATGCACAGTATAGATTTCTTTTTGTTTCTTACCAGCATGGTTTCCATTTTCTGAATACTCACTCAGCTGAATGTGCACTGATGGAAAAAATCAATGTCAATTGATACTAAAGCTTGTAAAGCAACGAATTCATATATACAATACGAGCAAAAGAGTATGTTTAATCTTATTGCCTTCTGGGGTTGATGCTTCTACCACCATTCACTTACGCATATTCAAACATGTTTAACAAGATTGATGAAGTAAATTAGGCTGTGCAAGCTAATATTATCTTGCTATCTGTTAAATCTTCATAAACTGAGATGCTTAGTGTTTTAAAATATCTGGCTTAAAGGAACATGTATTATCGGCCATATGGAAAGTCAATGAGCAATCAAGTAATTTTATTCCAGCTCACTAATGTGGCGAACTATAGGTACTTGCTCATAGACATAATAGTAAGAGTTACGAAAGGTGGAGTTTAATTTTAAACACTTAACCAGCTTAAAGCTCCCTTGTTGGGGCTTCTGAAATATAAATATACTGATATAACTATTATAGTTGTAGAATAAGAAGTTAATGAGTTTACTGTATAGTGCTCCCTTCCACTCTTAGGGCTCGTTTGGTACGAGGGATAAGGGATAATTAACCTCGGGATTAAATTTGAGATGGGTTTATCCCATGTTTGGTTGGGATAAAATTGTGGTGTAACTAATCCCGGAATTAGTTATACCGGGATTATAGTGTTATTTTCATCCCTATGGGAGAGTGGGATAACAATCCCACGATAGCTAATCCCGGGATAATTAATACTGGGATAACTTGTTTCCCAACCAAACAACCCCTTAGTCACCAGAAGTTATTTGCATCATTCATTCTCCGACATAACTTGCATTCTATTTTCTTGCAATGCTCATTAGAATTTTCGCTTCTTGCAGATAACGCAGATGGAACCGGATCGTAACAAAAGGAGGGCGCTGTTTCTGAATATAGAGTGCATTAATACCTTGAATGAGGGCCTTTTGTTACAGCATGCCGCCTTTGGATGCCCTAAGCCAAAGTGGTCAAAGTATCTAAGCTTCTTAAAGAGCAAAACATTCGCTGAACTAAGTCGGCCAAAACCTTTGACTTCCCAAAGTCGGCAGATGATGGAGGTTGAAGTTCATAAAGAAGTTGATAATGCGCCTGAAAAGCCACATCCAAAAATTCACACCATTTTCTCTACAGAATGTTCACCTTACTTTGATTGGCAGACAGTGGGGCTTGTCCACAGTTTTTACAAGAGCGGTCAGCCAGGGAATATTACGAGGCTTCTAAGCTGTACAGAGGAAGACTTAAAGCAATACAAAGGCCATGATCTAGCTCCCACCCACTATGTCCCATCCATGAGCCGACATCCATTAACTGGAGACTGGTAATCTATAGCTTACCTATGTGCGCAGCATCGTCAACTTTGCTTGAAAAGTTTAAAGCGCAACAAAATCTTTTGTCTTGAGTAATAATGTAGCTGTGTCACTATTCTTAGTTTTTGCTTATTTCAGGTATCCGGCAATCAACAAACCAGCCGCAGTTCTTCATTGGATGAATCATGTGAAGACAGATGCTGAATACATTGTGATTCTAGATGCCGACATGATTATGAGAGGACCAATAACACCATGGGAATTCAATGCATCTCGCGGCCATCCAGTTTCAACTCTCTATGAGTAAGGGTTATAAGTTTGCGATTTCATTTTCATTGAGTTGGAGGATTGCATGGTTTAATTGTTCTGGTGTATCAGTTCTTGCCTTATATTCACCTGGCACAGATTCTTACACAATTAACTTTTGTTCCTGTCGAATCAGCTACCTTATTGGCTGTGACAACATACTTGCAAAACTCCACACTCGCCATCCTGAAGCTTGTGACAAGGTTGGGGGTGTGATCATAATGCATGTAGATGATTTACGTAAATTTGCGCTGCAGTGGCTGCACAAAACAGTGGAGGTCCGACTCGATAGATCTCATTGGTCCAAGAACATAACAGGAGATGTCTATGAAGCTGGGTGGATTAGTGAGATGTATGGTTACTCTTTTGGTGCTGCAGAGGTATGTCCTACTCCTTGGCATCCATTGCTATACGCTAGTCAGTAATGTGTCTAATCTGAATTTTGATGTTGCGTAGTTGAATTTGCGGCACGTCATAAGCGACGAGATTTTGATATACCCGGGATATGTTCCTGCTCCTGGTGTGAACTACAGAGTTTTCCACTATGGCTTGGAATATAGGGTTGGTAACTGGAGTTTCGACAAAGCAAACTGGAGACACGTTGACTTGGTTAACAAATGCTGGGCTAAGTTTCCCAGTCCTCCTGATCCATCGTCACTTGATCAAAGTGATAATAATTCCCTGCAGCGCGACTTGCTTAGCATAGAATGTGCAACGACATTGAATGAAGCTCTTCGTATACACCACGAGAGAAGAAAATGCCCCGATCCTAACTCTATTTCCACTACCAATCAGGACACAACCAATGAAACTAGAACCAATGATGATGCAAGTAGAACCAATGCTGAAACTAGAACCAATGATGATGAAACTAGAACAGATGCTGAAACTAGAACCAATGATGAAACTAGAACCGACGCTGAAACTAGAACCAGTGCTGAAGCTAGAATGGCTGTTGAAACTACTACTTCAAGAAAGTTCGGAAAAGTTGACAACGACGTTCGGGGCTTGAGGCATGATGATGTGCCCAAAAATAATTCTCAGCAATCTTCCCAGCCTGACACGTCAAACGGGACGTTCAGTTCCATGAGATTTTGGATCATGGCATTGTGGGCGGTTTCAATCTTCGCCTTCTTGGGCGTCATGTCAGTCATGCTTAAAGGCCGTAAGGGATTGAAAAAGAGAGGTAAAGGTTACAAGTCTAAGAGAAGAACTTCGTATTCTGGTTTCTGGGATACGAATGGACAGGATAATAGGCATATACGCAATGCTGAAACAGCATAGTAAGAACATGGTCATTCACGGACAAAGGTCCGTGAAGTTATCGCTTAGCTGAGACGAAAACGTTTCTTTTGTTCGAGTTAGCAATTGAGTCATCTGCATTGCTGGATGGAAGATGTTTTGTGATGCTCAATTGATTGATTATTGTCTTTGGTTCAACATAACATGAAGCTGGTAGTTTGCAACAAATGCATACTAGGACCATTGCTAGGGACAAACAGAAGGTAGGTATAACTTCAGAAACAAAGTTTTCTTAGTCTTGCTGTTGTTTTTTTCTTTTTCAGAAAAAAAGGATAGTTAAGTTTCTTTTTTATTTAAAATAATTACAATATTCTTTTATATTGTAATTTCTGCACCTGTAAGTTTCACATCACAAGTATAATAAGTTTCATTTCAGGTTGTGTTGTTTCACAAGTAATGAGGTTTATCAAAAGGGAACTACTTTTGTTCTGTATACTTATGCAGTTAGTTAAAGACATTCAACCCTTTCTTTTATATATATATATATATATATATATATAGGAAAGAATTGGGTTGGACTAATTGGTGGGCATGTGCCTCGTGTTTGCAACTGTTCACAAATGATGAAAGATGGGTGGAGGAAAGTAAGAATGAACAAAGGGAAAGGTAAATCTTTCATTTG